GGAAAACAAGGACACCACTTGCTACAGCTTGCTGCGTGTGCCAGCTGAAGCTGTCTGTGCTTCATTTTAATGAAGGCAGACAAAGGGGGCTCTCTGGCTCCCACATTCCTCCTGTAAAGCCCATGACAGTGGTAAAACATTTTTCCTTTGTCCTTTTCTAAAAGATAAGCTTTTGTATTTTTCACAGACTATTGTGTCACTGGCAGTATAATGATTTAAGATCTGTAAGAGGCAAACAAACATAACTCAGTACACATGACTTAGATGCACATCCTACAAATCGTTTAAAAATATTCTTAATAGCAAAAGTTGAAAAACAAGTAGAATTTGAGCCAGGTGTGAAGGCATATGCCTGTAATCCCAAGGATGAGGCAGGAAAGTCAAAAGTTTGAAATCAGCTTGGGCAATTTAGCAAGGCCCTGTCTTTTTTCTTTCTTTTTTTTTGGTTTTTGTTTTATTGTTGTTGTTGTTTTCTTTTTGAGACAAGATCTCACTAGGTAGTTCAGACTGGACTTGAACTCACTATGTAGCCCAGGCTGGCCTTGAATTCACTTCAATCCTCTTGCCTCAGGCTCTGGAGTCCTGGAGTCCTGGGGTTAGGTGCATCACACCTGGAAACAAGGCCTTGTCTTCAAAAAAAAGGGCTGAGGATGTAGCCTAGTGAAAAGGCCTGGGGTTGAAATTTGGGGAAAAGTAGTGCCAGCAGCAACAAAAAGGGCAATGACTAGAGACTCAGAGTAGTATTTCTCTACATGCAGCTACCACTTTACCTTCACTTGGATATAGGAAAGCTAATTGTATTAATTTGGGCTCAATCACAAAAAAATTTATTGGGGGCCTGCTATGCACAAAGAACCCCCCCCCCAAAGAAAAGGTGAGAATGTAAATGGAGCCTACTGGGGACAAGGAGAGTGCAGGACTGACTGGAGAAGAATGGTAAGATGGCTGTCGGGGTGGTTCCACTGGCATGTGCCCCAAGACTCTTGCACAGGAAGCAGGGTGAGACAATTCATCAGTTCAGACAGAAAGCATCAAAATAGCACCAAAGCCACGTCAGTGGTACGGCCACAGAAGCGTGCTGGTGTTAAGGAAAAGGGCAGGCAGTGGAGATGACTGGTTTCAGACAGGCTGTATGTCTGAAGAGGAGAGGAGAGGATGGTTCCAGCCATGGGAGGCAAGATAAGTGAGCACAGATGAGAAGCTGAGGGTGCAGGAGCTCAGTGTCAGGGTGGAAGAGTCTACTGGTTGGCAGTTTCTCTGAAAGACTAAAATCTGTTACTAGAAAGAGCACTAGACTGTCAGGAGGGTCAGGTTCCAGGTGGTTCCAGCTTTGGCAATAACTCACTTCCTGTGTGACTTCAGGCAAATCCCTTCACCTGTATCTCATTTTACATCAGAGGAAAACTGAGTTGGACTATTTCATTCATTAAGTTTTATAATACATGTGTACCATAGAGTTGAGGTCACAACATATTTTATTATCATTTTATTGCCATTATTTTATTATTTTATTATCTAAACAAGATACTTTCAAGAGTCAAAGAGAGTGCTATTCATCATTTCAGCAGGACAGTGGACACAAACTTGAACTACTGATTCTGGGGAACCTGAGATGTACGCTTGCCTCACCTGTACACATCCTTCAGCTCGGAAGTAACACCTCTGGATCCCCCTTTCACGTCCCATAGCTGGCTAGTGCCTGACCCATCCAGATGCTACTTCCTTTTGGTGAGCATTTCTGCATTCCTTATGTAATCAAAGCTACCGATCTATTGACCTTGTGCCAAACAGCTGCCCCTATCCTACTACTGATTTTGCACTCCGTACTGTTTTCAGGTAGCTTTCTTCTCTACTAGCACAGTTTTTCAAAGAAGGTAAACATTTATGTATGAACCCCATTTTTTTCAGGTGGAAAACTTGGTAGCCAAAGGGTAAATGTGACTGGTCTGGAGTTCTGAAATTACTCAAAGCCACAGTGGGAGTATAAATCTCATTTTCTCAATAGATTGTCAATGGATCACATTCATCAAAATAAGACATAAAAGAAAGAAAATCTTAAAAACACATACTAATCTATACATTTCACAAATCTTGGAAGGAACATGTTCTTTACCGATGCAAACAGCTCAAAGCTGGATAACCTGCACCATAAAAAAAAGATAAATATTTGAGGAGATAATAATTTTGATGATTTAAACATTATGCATGTATCAAAAAATATATAATACCTCAATAGGTACAATTTTTATTTTTTTCTGTCAGTCAAAAAGATAAAAGAAACCAGTCAGCCCAGAACTGACCGACAGATATCTGATCATGTCATACAACAATTTGCTAGGTTTTTAAACAGTCAATTGTTTTTTCAAGGAAAGCACAGCTTAGCTGTTATATATTTTCTTTCGACATCAATGCTATTTTCTGTCCTACAAACATTTCCACTTACTTGTTTTTCAACTGTAATTGAGGACAGAAGGAGGAGGAAGAGAAAAACAGAGTTACTCCTGTACCCACAACCCTCTGCTTCTCTGCTCCCTCTGGAATGTTCCCTTGGTATTAATTAAAGAACTACAAATATGAGTCATACCCACGGGCTTATGGGTGACATAACTAAATATTCTGAGAATATGTCTGATTAAGGAAATGAACAGCCTTTCAGTCCATGGCAAGATCAAAAGGCAAGAGGGTAAACCCCACTACAGAATGTCCCAGGAAAGGATCTAGCCTTGGTGTACAAAGAACTGGACATGTTCACTTCCTTGGAACAGTATAAGAAACAAGTGGTAGAGATTTCATAAATTATGAGTCAGGGAAAGCTCCTCTGCTATGTTGGCTAGCCCTGAATAAAGAACAATCCTTGTAAATAAGAGACAAAAGAACAACATAAGGCAAAACCAAGAACACTTTCACCATTACTATCTATAAGAGAAGAAGGGAGCCACTAGTTTCTCAGAATTCGCTAGTACGTCTACATAAGCACTAATCTCCAAAATGGTTAAGCTCTTCTGTCCTTAAAGTCATATAAAATCCAAAGTCAGGCCAAGGATTTAGCTCAGTGGTTTCGACGCCTGCTGCACAAGTGCAAGGACCCGAGTTTGATCCCCGGTACCAAAAAAATATCCAAAGTCACAGAAAGTTAAATATGGCATGGTTTCTCTCATATGAGAAATCCAATTATTAACAAATTAAGGGTAAATTAAGGCAGACTTTTTGGAGCAGGGGGAGGGAAATGGGAAAGAGGGAGTAGAGTGGAGGGGATGGGAGGAAAGGGGGATAAAAATGACTAAGCTATGTTATATGCATATGTTTAATCCCCCCAAATGAATGTAAATGTCATGTATTGCAAACATGTACCAATAAGAAATGTTTGCAATTTTAAAAAAGCCAACTCAGATGCATTAATTCCATTTTTAAAAGAGGTTCCCTCAAACAAAAGAAGCCTAGTTCTGTCTCTACTGGCCAAATACTTTAAATCACTTTTAGAGTTGAAAAAAATGTCTTCCCCTCAGGCTTGGCCCTGTCCAGGTGGCACACTGGTCACCTCACAGACTGGCAGGGCAGCACCCAACCAGGCCCTCTTGCCCAAAGCAGCAACCCAAGGGAATGCTGGGAAAACTTTCAAAGGCTTCAGAGGAAGAACTCCGAGACCCTAGTAAAAGACTTCTTTGTTTTACAAACAAACATGTTAGTCAGGATGAAGCTCTTTTTCTTATTCATTCCTTCAAGTTGATTTGGAATATTCTATAGCTTTACATCAACCTGTCCTTGGTTTTCTTCAGCCCTGAGAAGTTCCGGTGCCAGGAACTTGTGCCAAGTGACTATGTAACATTTTATGTGGATGCCTGGTAATTTTCACATTTTTCTTCTGTCTTTCACTAATGATGCAGGAATACTGTTAAAAAATCCCTTTTAAAAGATGGAGCTGTCTTGATGGGCATGGTGGCACATACCTGTAAGCCCAGCACTCTGAGAAGCTGAGGCAAGAGGATTGACAGCTCAAGCCCAGCCTGGGCAACTCTGATTTAGCGAGACCTTTTTCAAAATAAAAATTAAGACAGGGCTGTGGATGTAGAGCTCGGAATGAGGGCCCTGGATTCAACCCCCAGAACAAATAACAACAAAACAAAAACAAACAACAAAACCAGAGACGTCTCTTGGGTATTTTCTCTAAGATTTTGCTACAGCTCAAGGGTTGTTATTCTCTGGTGGCCGATCCATTTAAACTCTTCCTTCACGGGAACCTTGGCAGATGAAGGTAGAAGACAGACACAGGAGCCTGAGAGGGCAAAGAGTTAGGGCGCATTCTTTTCTTCCACAGCTCTGCTCCCTGAGCCAACATGGTGTCTACCCATGATAAGTACTATAAGAGATGGTTTCCATTTTTCAAATAAATAAATGGGTTAGCTATCTCTGAATGGATGGAATCACTAGGGTGCACCTGAAAACTAAACGCCCTTCCCCTCACCCAGTGTGAGGATGGACAGCAGTCACCGCTGCCTGTTTGCTCTGCACAGACTCTGGCTTGGATCACTGGTAGGTTTTCCTAAACAGAGTAGTTTCTCATTCGACAATCTCTGGGCTTTCTGTCTGACAGCAGGTGACTGAGAAATAACTTCAAGAAATAACTTCCATTATCTAAGACAACTTACATGCTGGAATCAAACCACCAGTTGAGTCATAGTCCATTAAGGCCAATGAGTCATATTTTGTCAAAAACAATAAAATGATTTTAAACCACTCTGTTAAAACAAAAACCACACTAACTGATGCACAATCAAGACTCCTAGGGGCAGAAAATAACAAATCCACCTCTTGAGATGTTGAGGACCACAATGAAAAGAACAGCATCTATTCACAGCACCTCAATGCCATGCTTGGTATGATTCATACTTAAAAATAACAAAATAGTAGCTACTATTTCTAGATAGTCTGTACACAGAGGGCAGTCAGGCAATGCAGAGGGTTAGCTGGTGTTCTGAAACCCTTTCCCTCTGCGTACTCACTGTGTCTCCGCCCCCAGCAGCATTTCCACTTTCTCATTCGCATGGTTATTCAGGACTGTCAGCGTAAAGAGGTGACTGGCAGAGCTCTGTCTTGAATAAAGCATTGTGGAACTGTTCTTCCCTGGAGAGGAATTAAGCTCTTCATTGTCACAGGATTCCACCAAGAGCTGATCTCTTAAAGAATAATCATTGACGTTGTAGCTTTCTTCACTGTAGAGAAAAGGGAAAAGAATATGTCAATTACTCAGTAGATAAAACAGTAACATTGTCAGTTTTCAAGTCATATTCTGGAAGAAGGGACAAGAAGAAAGCAGGGAGAGAATGACCTATTTTCCAATACAAATTGGAATCTGAATTATATCTACTGATTATGGATCAAGGTAACCTCCCCCAATTAAAGCTATTAGTTACTCTTATTGATATATCATACTAAACTGATTCTCAAGTAAAAAGCAATATTTAAAAATACTAAGCCCACTAATTCAGTTGACACTCCCCTGGCAGTTGTACCAAGTGAGAATTGCATGCCTCCCGCTAATGCTCACACATGTACACCTCTCCAGCTCCACTCATTCACCCACGGAATGAAGAAGGAACTGCAAACCTACCCATGCTTTGGGGAACAAGGCTGCAACCCTGCCTCAAAAGGAGTCTGAAGAGGAGAGAAGAACCCTAGATGTCTTCCTTTTTGCCCAACCGACCCATCTTCCCTACGCTCACAGCCTCACCAACTGTTTCAGAAACCACCCATGACTAATTCTGTCATGTCTCCATCTGCTGATGCCAGGACCCCTTCAATCCTCTAGACCAGTGGCAGCCAACCTATGGCACAGGGGTTGTTTTTCTTTGAAGACAAAAGACATTAATGTACAAGTTGTTTTTTCTAAACTAAAACCTCAGTATTCAGGTTTAATTGCAGTGCTGGCAGTTTTCGATAAACAAGTGGGTTTTGGGTTACCATCTGGACACTCATTGCTAAGTGTGTGTCATGGGGGCGGGGGGGTTGAAGCTAAGTGCACTCTACCGATCCCAGCTCTTTCATTTTTTATTTTCATACAGGTTCTCACTGAGTTGTTCAGCTTAGCCTCAAATTTGCAATTCTCCTGCCTCAGCCTCCTGAGTAGCTGGGATTATAGGCATGGGTCCCTGCAGATGTCTCCCCTAGATGTTTACCCCCTTTCTCACCACAAACATGCCTAACATGACCCCACCCTATTCAGCTCTTCAGGTGGTTCCTGAACACCTCCCAGAATGTCTTGTGGGAGCGCCCTTCCTTTAGGGAATCCAGTAAAATCTCCTAAATCCTCAGCCTCTTCTTTGAATCCTCCCTGTTCCTTCTAATCAATAAGTGTTTTCTAATAGAACCCCGGCTCTCTCTAGGACACACTGCCTTCTGAAGGCTCTCTGCCTGCTTGCTTTTCTTCCTGCTTCTAGATGATGATACTTCCTCCTCCAAAAAGGCCTTAAACTTTGAAGCTTGAGTGATCTGTTTCTATCTCATAATCACTGTTATCTCCCACTCCTGAAACACTCCCCATCCTCCCTCACCTGCTTTGCTACGTTTCCAATTAGAGGATCCTTCCATTACTCTGGTCCCTCACTTTCCTGACTTCATCTTCTCCAATGATCTTTTCCTCTGCCTATCTCAACTACCCATCCATGATCATAGCTCAGACTTGGTCACCACCACCAACCACAACCTCTCTGTAATCCCAATGTCAAACAGACCATGCTCTTCCCAGCAACTCATCTTTCCACCTGCTCCAATCCTAAATCCCAACAATTATTTAACCCACTAGTTCCTTCTATTCATTGACTCTACCTCTTTAAGGACAGAGCTCCTTAAATTTCTCTTACTACTGGTTCACATGTATTCTATTACCCAGCTTGGATTTCTTGGCACCTCACAATAATCATGTGCACACATGCCCATTTCCTTTGTTGTGTTTGTTTAGCAAACCCAAAACCTGGTTAGATACAACTCACTCTTAATTCTGCCTCCTTGCAGCTGAACTTAGAAGTACTCAATAAGTAACTATTAAATAAGTGTTGAGTAAGCAATAAACTAATATGTTCTAGGGACACTGAATTGCTACATTATGCAGCAATAAATGTAAATATCTGAACTCAGAGAAGCTAAGAAAAAAAGAAAATCCCTTGGCTCCAGACAAATATGCTAGGAACTCCAGAACAAGCCATTCTGTTCAAAATTTTAGGGATTTTAAAAAATCTAGTGGTAGACAACTGCCTGTCAACCACCCTCATGTTGTTCTCCTTTAAAAATTATAATGCTTTCTAGAATTTAGTTTGATATATTTTTCCCCTCACAAACACTAAGTACAGGTATCTTCTATAAAAGCAAAATATTGACTTTAGATCAAGTCTATTTGTTCCTAAGGTAACGATCTGGATTAATTCAAAATTCACCTGACAGGATGACCTCAAAAGTTCTTCCTAAGATCACCTGAGACCAGCACATCCACACTTGGGAGGTATGAAATGCTTTCCATACCAAAATGAGATGTTTCAAAGCACAGATGAGGTTTACAAAAGGAGGAAGTAGGCAATACACTTTACAAACACACATGCTTTTATTTTTAAATGACTGTGAACTTCTGGGAAGATGGCAGTTTGGTAAGCAGTAATAAGTCAGCCTCTCCAATATTTGGAATCCAGACACTGGAAAATAACAACTTGGGGAAGAAAAAAAGGAGGGAGAGAGGTGGATGCTGTGCACTACAGCAGCTGATGAGTGACTCCAGTCTAGGCATTTGCTATGTCCCCTGGAAACAGTGGCTGGTTGGATGCCATTTTAGGGAGAAGCTAATTGAACCTGGAACTCAGAACTGCTGAGGGTTCACTTCATCTCAGGGCTCCTAGTGTTAAACTCCCACAGTGACTGGACAAAGGACAACCAAGGCAGATGCACATGGTCAAGGAGCTGTGGTCAGGCTGGCAAGAGACACCCAGACTGTTACAAGCTAAACAACTCAGGTCCCACCTCCATGATCAGAGGCCAGGTTCAACCTGAATTTCTGTGGATATTAAAGCCCCACAATGGGCATCCCACCTGCTGACTTGCATGGATCTGGCTTCTGACCACCTCCCTTGTCTACCAGTGTCAGTGAAGACATGCTCTGAATTGGACAATACCACAAAACTGTAGAACACAGAAGACAAGCACAGGTTTGAAATCACAGAGCAATTTCTTTTTTTCTTTTGATCTTTTTTTGGTTGTTGTTCATTTGGTTTTTTGGCTTTCTTAAAATTGTTTTTGCCTTTTTTTGTGAATGTGAACACTGTTTTAGTTTTTTTGTTTCATTGTTTTTTGTTTCCTCCTTCTTTCCTCCCCTCCTGTTTTCTACACTAGTTTCTTGAGGCCTGGGTAATCCTCCTCTGTTCTTCAGCCTTGCTTCTAATTTCTTTTTCTTCTTTCATTTCTCTTATTTTTTCCTCTTCTCCTTTTAAATTTTCTCTCCTTAGGATAAAATTGCTCTATTGAGTGGATATTTACTATATATAATTTTATGATTTGTCTTATTTTGTTATATAACTATAAATCCTGTACCTAGGATTAAAGATGGCAAATTATTAGTTATCACAGTTTGTCATTTTCCAGTCTGTGTTTGATGCTACAGTTATTACTGATTGTACAACTTTAGCCTAGGTGACACAGTTGTCATGATCAACTGATTTTCTTTGTATGCCAATACCTAAATTGTCTGGAGGGTCATAAACAATACTATAGCCCATTACCAAAAAAACTGGGTGCTAGGCCAAACAGGCTGCAATCTTTCATTCATAATAAATAGAAGAGACAGAATCCTGGGACAGACTCAAAGGCTAAAAGCCAGCTATGCCTAGAAGACATCTCTGAAAAGTAATCATTTCCTTGAGGGCTTGATACTAGTAATAAAGCTACCTATCATAAGCAGTTTATAAGCCTCAGTGAAGAAATAAAATAGAGAAAATGAGAAAACATGGAAGGAAGATGCAATCCAACACTCCCAACTTGCCCAAGGCAAATCTGGGGGCACTAAGGTGGAAGAAATCAAAAGCCACCTAACTGAACTTTCTGAAATGGTAATAGTGGAAGCAACAAAACAAATGAATATATCTCTTGACAAAACCAAAACAGAAATAATTACACAGATAAAGAGATGATGACCATAATAAAAGAAATGGGTAGTAAATCTAGAGTAGATACAGATAAAAAAAAAATAGAAGAGCTTAAGAAAGATGGGGAAACCATGAATACCCAACATAGGAAAGAACTGGATCCCATAAATCAGATTTAGACAGATACCCAGGAGAATAAAAATCCTATTGAAAGTATCTGCAGCATAATCAACCAACGTGAAGATAGAATAACAGGTCTAGAAAACAGAGTTGTAGTTGGTGATCATAAAATGAAAGATTATTTTAAAATAGCAAAAGATCACAAAAAAATCAATCCAACAACTGCTAGATAATGCAAAGAAGAACAATATAAGATTAATTGGAATCAATGAAAAATTAGAAGAGAGCACAAAGGACATAAAAAACTTGTTTGCAGAATAGAGAAAACTTCCCAAGCACAGAAAAAAAATTTGACATACAGATAAATGAGGCATATAGAACTCCAAGTAGCCATGATCAGAAAATATCTACACCAACACAAGGATCAATGCAACAGAATAAAAGATACAGGAAGGAACAACTCCAAGCACAATCAACTACCTTATCTTTGACAAGGGCCAAACACTTCCACTGGAAGAAAGACAGCCTCTTTAATGAATGGTGCTGGAAAAACTGGCTTTCCACATGCTGAAGACTGAACCTAGACCCATAACTTTCACCATGCACTAAACTAAAACTGAAATGGATTAAAGATATAAATATTAAAGCAGAAACAATCTGCTGGAAAGCAGAATAGGTAAAATTCTTGAAGACCTAAGTGTAAGCAAAAAAATCCCAATCGTACAGGAAATACTATAAAGAATCAACAACTGGCATCACATCAAATTAAAAAGTTTTTGAACAGTAGAAGAAACCACCAACAGAGTGAAGTTATTACCCACAGAATGAAAAAAAAATTTACCAGCTACTCCTCAACAAAGGACTAACATCTAGAATATACAAAGACTTTTTAAAAATCAGACCCCTCAAATTTAAAGGCTCGATCCAAAAATGGGCATCTGAAACGAACAGACACTTCTCAGATGAAGAAG